TTGACCTACGGCCATGTCTATTCATGTGCTGACAGCATAAACAGTCAATAGGAAGAGATGAAGAATTCTTCGACTTCCTGAGATGGTCAGGAAGGAATGACACCTAGAGAGAGGCGGGCTGAACTTGTGCTTAACTTATCAACCAATGACTGTCTTCCTTCATTTTGCAAAAGGGTAGGAAGATTGATAACTCTCAGCAAATGATAGCTTCGAGGGGCAGGGTGCTGCCAGCAGGCGGTGCCAGAGCAAGAATAGTCAGTGACAACCAGAGACAAGCGCGAGAGGAGGTGACAGCTGGGGACATCACTGAGAAGGGGCCTGGAGCATCGCTGCGGCTCCTAGCCAATAAGAGTTCCGTGCTGGCCTTCTTGGGTTTCCAAAAGGGCTTCCATTCATTCAGCTCCTGAGCTGCACCACAAACCTAGTGCCCTGATCCAGTACTCTCCACCTCGATGCCTCTAATTAGACAATAGCCAGCGTCTTCTATAAGGCTCGTCTCTCTGAATTCCCTACTCCAGGCAGGAATCCCGGACCAGGTTTCTCTAAATTCTCATATATAAATTGAGCTTCTCCCCCGAACGCTGCGATTTCTCAAACTTTATCCCTCTGAATGCTGCTTCATTCTCCGGCCGGAGGGGGGGCTGTTCCATCTCAGAACCCAAATCTATGAATCCTCAATACCTTGAACCCTCCATATCTATATTCCTGTTCTTTGGAGGATTCAAGAACCAAGTCCTGTCGTTATCACATCACTTTGGGCTCTACTAACCTAGACTCCAATTTCATGAGCCCTCAAGGTTGCCCTTAGACTAAAATCATAAAGATCATACCTTATGAATACTAACCTTCTAGCTTCTACACACCGCTTCCTCTGGCCTCTGTTCTCTTGAGCCCCCAAATGAACACAGCATCTACCACTCTCAAATTCTAGTGAGACCTAACTCTCCACTTCCCAGTTCCTCACTAGCTTTTGAGTTGTGAGGCTCCCCAGTCTTATTGACTCACTCCCCCACTCCCAACTCAAACCCAGACCCTGTAATGACCTGTCAGGTCTTCTTCTCCACTTCCCCACCTTCCACCTGATTCAAGTTTACTGAGCATGCCCCCAGGCCCATTCCCTTTTTAGAGTCTTTCTCACCTCCCAGAACCCACTAATGAGTGGGCTCCTCCATGACGTAGACCCCCATGGTACCCATATAAGGCAAAACAGCTGCCAACTAAAGCAGGGGGGGTGCTGTGCAGGAGGCCAAGGGCAGCTGCTAAGTTTAGGGTGGCTCCTTCTCTCTTCTTAGAGACAACAGGTGGCTGGGCCCCAGTGCCCAGAAAAGAAAATGTCTTAGTGGCATTGGCATGGACTGGAGGAGGGGAAGGGAGGAGACACATTCCTCAGGACATCAGGTCCTAAAGGGAGCAGGAGGAGATGGGTGTCACTGCCAACCTGGGGTTTCCTCTGCTGCTATTGCTCTAGACCTCCATTGTATGGAGGAGAATATGGCACTGAGGCCCAGAACTTTATGAGAGGGGACCTCAAAGTCACAAAGCCAGCCAAGCTAGTTCTTTCCCAGGGAGGAGAAGTCACTGGCTGTGCTACCTAGGGAGGAGGTGACAGTTAGCACTTCCCTCTTAGGGCCTTTGTCACTTCTCTTCTGAGGTCCAGCCTCGATTTTTCAACCCTTCCCAAGTTCACCAGCATCTCTGCTTGTCATTGAACACCCCGCGGAATCTGGTCGCCAACCCTGAACACCTAGCCCCATCACAAATCTGGCGAACCTATCCCGACCTTTGCCCATGTGCTGTGCCTTCTGTCTATAATGGCTGACCACCAGCCCTCACCTGAATCACTTCCTTTGCTTTCTGCTGAGTTCTGTTACTGTTACCACTTGCTTCCTTACTAAAGCGAACCCACAAAGTCAAGTACATTGTAGGTCTGCATTAAATGCTCACTGAGTTTGGATCTGAGCCACCCCACTTAGGAGCCCAAGGTCTGGTGCTTTTCCCCCAGAACTACGGATTGGTGGAGCCCTTCCGATTTCTGGCACAATCCAGTCCCCTTTGGGGAGAAAGAACATCTCTTCCTGTCTATCCCAATGAGACTTGCATCCCAAGACTTACTCCCTCCTCCCTTTCTGGGCTCCAGCTGCTGCAGGCCTCCAAGAAAGGAGAGGCCCCTGAGCCGGGCTATTTTAGTATCTGGGGTGGGTATCCGCAGGGCTAAGGTTACCATGGTATGTTAAGGGCTGTGGGGACAGGACTATATAACCTCAGAAGAGCTGCCCCAAGCAGATCCTCTGCCTTTTCCAGCTGGAGCCACTGCCTTGCCCCCAGGAGATCTAAGACATGGTGAGTGTGGATCCCCAGCTGCAGTCCAAAGCCACTAACTCAGGGTAGCCTCACCCTTCGAAAAGAAAAAAAAAACAAGTTGATGTTTCTCAGTCCAACTACAGGTGAGGTATGGATGGCCTCTCAGCACCAGAGTGGAACAGAGGGTGGAGGGGCTGAAGGACTCAGTCAAGGACAGCATGGTCACCCATGGGGAGTGGGGGTTCAGACCCGCTTGAAGCCTGTTCCATCCTTTCTGTACTCATCTCTAACGTCTTCGGGCCAGTGAGATGACCCCACTCTCATCTGATAAGTGAGAGGCAGAGATTCAGTTCAGATAGAGACAGGGAATGGATTAAGCTAGCAGGTATAAGGCCAAGTTAGCAGGTCGAGAGTCCTGAGAAGGGCACTTGTCAGACAGGATGAAGGGACCCGGGAGCTATAGCTGGGATGTAAGAGATACAGCCAAAACGAGTCCTCTTAGCCAAGATGCACCAAGAGAGAAAGAGAGTTCAGGAAAAAGGACTCAAAGAACTCTGAATCTGATCAGGCATGGTGGTGTATGGCCATAATTCCAACTGTTTCCGAGACTGAGGGAGTAGAATGACTGGAGTCCAGAAGTTCTAGGCCAGCCTGGGCAACATAAGGAGACCTGGTCTCAAAAGAAAAAAAAGAAAGACTGAGAAGAAGGAGCTGGGGTGGTGATGAACGTCTTTAATCCCAGGACTCAGGAGAATTAGGTGCCTCTCTGCAAGGTCAGGAGAGTCAAGGTAGAGTCAAGGTCTACACAATGAGCTCCGGGGCTAACTAGTGAAACCAATGTCTTTTTTTTCTTTGTGGTTTTATCTGCCTGCCTCTGCCTCTGTTGGGATTAGCCCACACCTGACTGTGAGACCATGTCTTAAGGGGGGAGGGTGTAACTCAGTGACTGTTAGTGCTTGAAAATCAGATGTGGCAGCCTAGGATGCTGTCCCTGGTAATTGCACTTGGAGGTAGAGATGGAGGCAAGCAAACAGAAGGTCAGGTCATCCTCAGCCAAGCAGCAAGTCTAGGCGCGACTACATGAGACCCAGCCTTTAACAACAACAAAAATCTGGTCTCCGTCCCAGGAGGGAGGTACAGGAACTAGCCTAGGGATCGCTCCTCTCAACCTCTACCCTCACAGGCACCCAAGAAGGCCAAGAGAAGGGCAGCAGCAGAAGGGAGCTCCAATGTCTTCTCCATGTTCGACCAGACTCAGATCCAGGAGTTCAAGGAGGTGAGCGAGGGAAGCTAAGGAAAGTCCCCCACCCCCACCCCCGAAAGTGCACCTGTTGAGGGGAGGAGGAAGGTTTAGAATTCCTCTCCTCCTTGTGAAGGGTGGAGGGGGGGTCAGCTGGCTGAGAGCCAAAATCTGATCTGCCTGGGGCAGCAATGCTGAAGCCTTGGGCCCATTCCTGACTTCACCTGTCCCCATCCCTACCCTCCACAGGCTTTTACTGTAATTGACCAGAACCGAGATGGCATTATTGACAAGGAGGATCTCCGGGACACCTTTGCAGCCATGGGTGAGCCCCCTATTCCCGCCCATAGACAGTGAAAGCTATGGAAGCTGATGGGACTCCAGTGGCTTCTGGTCCCCAGCACCTGGCTCCAATCCCTGCCGCTCACCCCGTTCAGGCCGTCTCAATGTGAAGAATGAGGAACTCGATGCCATGATGAAGGAAGCCAGTGGGCCCATCAACTTCACCGTCTTCCTGACCATGTTTGGGGAGAAGCTTAAGGGTGGGTAAAATGTCCTCAGTCCGAGGCCCTAGTTCCATCTTCCCAGACCTGCAGGGGCTCGCTGAACTCATGTGTCCTCTGACCCTTCAGGTGCGGACCCTGAGGATGTGATCACCGGAGCCTTCAAGGTCCTGGACCCAGAGGGCAAGGGCACCATCAAGAAGCAGTTGTGAGTGGCCCCCTTCAGTAGCTCCTTAGGTTCCTATGTAAAAGCTCGAGGTAGACAGAATGAGAGAGCAGCAAGGACTGGGTGACAGGGTTACATTTTCACAGCAAGTAAGGAGAGAAACCTGAGACAGGAGGTCACAGCATTTGGGAGAGAGCCACCCTGGTTTCAGCGAAGAATGGGGTAACAGGAATGAAATGAGAGGGGACAGGATTTATAAACCCAATCTCACCTCCCAAATGTCACCTTCTCAGCCTGGAGGAGTTGCTCACCACACAGTGTGACAGATTTTCCCAGGAGGAGGTGAGTTGGGGAGGGCCTGGGAAGGGGAAGGACTCGTGCAGTGGGAGTTTGAGGACCGGTCCTAAACTTACTCCTGCATCTTCCCACAGATCAAGAACATGTGGGCAGCCTTCCCTCCAGATGTGGGCGGCAACGTAGACTACAAGAACATCTGCTATGTCATCACACACGGTGACGCTAAGGACCAGGAATAGGGGACCCAAGGTCTCAGAAGATCTAGATAGGCATCTAGCCTCCCCAACTCTCGCCCGACCCCCAATAAAACTCAACTGGTCTTTGTTTCTTATTGGTGGCATCTTCAGTTTATTTAAGCGCGAACTCAGGCGGGAGGTTGAAGCACCGCCCAGCAAGACAGGAGAGGCTAACAATGGACTAACTAGAAGCCAGAAGGCCCGCAGTGGGCGGGCAGACCCATTCCTGTTGGGAAGAAGACTCTGGCAGCTCGGGGTGGGGTGGGGTAAGCAGTTTTTATTAGATGGAGAATTTAGAGGAACAGGGATACCCTAAGTGGAACCCGCCATCAGGAGTCGGAGGGCGGCTCAGAACAGCGCGGAGGGCGGAGTTGGGCGGGGCTACAGACTTCCGGATTGGAGGGACCTGTTTCAAGTGCAAGGGCGGGCCTACCCTCTAGGTCTAGGATAGGACCTATCCTAGATAGGACGCTGGGCAGTCTAGAGCCAGATGGGACCGGAGATTGGCGGTGAGCAGATGCTAGGTTGGGCGGCGGAGAGGATCTCACAGCGAGTCTGACTGCTCGCCCTGAGCCTGGTTCTGCTGCATCTGAGCTTGCATCTTCTCCAGCATTTCTTGCATGCGGCGCAGCTGTGCGGAGCAAGATTACAAGCAGTGGGACCGGGCAAGACCGGAATAGGATCTAGGTAGCTGATTTGAGGGAAAGAGATGTGCTTGCTCACCTCTTCGTCTTTCTCGCGAATCAACTTCTCAGTGTCGGCTAGAGGCAGTATGGGCAGTGGGATCTCTGTGGCACTCTGCCGGGAAAGCTTGCTAGAAATGGGGTGGGGGGCAGAAAACAGGAACCGGATCTGAAGCTGTGGGGGCGAATTCTGGGTGTAGGAGGCGGGGCCTCGTCCCTGAAGTTAGGGACGGAGTGGGAGAGGCTTAATTGGACCTAGGAGGCTGGGTTAAACCTGGTAGCAGGACCAGTCGGGAAGGCTTACCCAAAGGGTGGCACCATGGAAGCGCTAAAGTAGCCCGGCTCTCACCTGCGGCTGGTTCGATCCCGGGCCCCCGGTCGAGCCAGACTCTGTAGGCAGCGAGCCCGATAGCCCTCGTAGAGCAGATCGTGGGTCACCTCTTTCAAGTCCTGAAGGTGGGTCTGTACCAGCATCCGCCTCAGGTTTAGGAAATCGCAGTGATGTGGGTTCTCCACTAGAGGGCGGACCAGGTAGCTTTCCGTCAAACTTCACCCTTAGGATCTTCCCTCTGGGAGTACCTCGCTGTTGCAGCCCGAGCACCCCTCTTGTGGCTTCTAGAGACTCAGGACTAGAGCCCACCTCCTGTTTCACACACGGACGCAGACTAAGCTCCCTGCTTCTCTCAACGCAAGTCTGGCCTTACCCTCCACGGTACCCCAGGAATAGCGGCGTCCCCTCACTGGTCGGGTTCCACCATCCCTCACCACGTCACATGAACCAACCACCGCGAAAGGAATGCTTCCCTAGAGGGAAAGAAGTCAGGAGTCACGTTGGCTCCTCCTGGGTATAGACCTGTTTCTCAAAGCTTTCATCTCCACTTCTGCTTTCTGTTTCTCTGTCCCTTCCACGTCCTCCAGTCAAACCTTCATCTCTTCGTTCTGCTTCTTGAATTCTTCATCTTCATCAGAGTCACATTCTGGGAACTGGTAGATGTTGATCTCCTCCTCCTTCAACTGGTCCCGGATCTCAGGGTGGACAGAGGGGGAAACTGAGGTGTGACCAACCGACATGGCATGGCCAGAGACAGTGAGGTACAGAGATACTGGGCAGTCATAGAGAAAGAAAGACGTGAAGAACGGATGGTGGGAGGTGGCCACACAAGATGACCAAAACCAAGTCCTCAGACACAGGGTAGTGAGAAATTCAGAAAGAGAGGACAGACATCAAAAACCCGGAAGTGGGTCAGGGGAGAGCACTGGAAAGACAGCAGGGCGGGGAGTAGTCACTACCACAGGACCAAAGAGAAGCCAGGAGTTGTGACATCCCTTTTCCCTCAGCCAGGCCCTAGCCGAGCATCTAGTTCCAGGGCTGTATAGCCATTCTGTTCAGAGCTGTTAGGGACGTGACTGCTTGGAGCAGGTGCATACACCATTTCCTCATACCCCCTTCCCAAGTCTAGCCTAGTAACTCCTGCTTTGAAAGGCCACCCCAAGGTCAAAAAAGTCACAGCAGAGATGAGGTTCAGACACCGCTTTGTTTTCACTTAGTGCTAAAAGTCAGGCCCCACTCATACCTTCTGCTTGAGAACCTGAGTTTCCCTAGGCATCAGGGCATCTGCTTTGCCGATGACCGGGATAACATTGACCTTCTCGTGCACTGCCCGGAGGAAAGCCACATCGAGGGGTCGGAGCCTGCAGCAGGGATTGGTGGGTGTTCAGTTCCACAGTGCAGAGGCTTATCCAGCCTCCCCAGCTCCCAGGGTGCCCTCCAGACCCTCTGCCGAAGGGTGAGATGAAGTAGAGGCAGCAGTGCACTCTGGAGTCCTGGATGTTTTTCCTGTTGAGGCCGCTCTCGTCCCTGAGGTACTGCTCAAACTGCTCCTCAATGAATCGGACCACGGGCAGCCAGCTGGAGTGTGGGGAGAAGGGGTAGCATCTAAGACCACAGGGCAGGGAACAGAACAAAGCAAACCAGGTCTGTGGGGCGGGAAGTAATTTCTTTGCTTCCAGCCGAAACCATCAGGGGCAACAGGAGGGAGCATGGTTGAGACATCAAGAAATGAGGTGACTCCACACCTGTAATCCCAGCACTCAGGAAGCTGAGGCAGGAGAATTGCCACATTTGGGGCCAACATGGCCTACATAGTGAGTTCCAGGCCAGCCTGGGCTAATGTGACACCTTCCCAAAAAGCAAAAACAAGCAACTGGAAGAAGAAAGAAAGAAAGAAAGAAAGAAAGAAAGAAAGAAAGAAAGCAAGCACTGAACCAGCCATGGCCTATGTAATCCTGTAATCTGTAATCCTGGAAGGAGGACTTTGAGACCAGTTTGGGCCACATAGTAAATTTGAAGCCCCTGAGTCACATAGAGAAACCTTTCCTCAAAAGAGAAACACTGGACACTTTGGGCCAGATTGTTTCCAGAAACAGATGCGTCCTTTTCGGTCAAGGAGCCTTGACAAACCAGCCCACAACTGACCCACAGTGGAAGAGAAGCTTAGCTCTTATCCGTTCCCCACCTCACCAGTCTGAGCAGTCCACAGAGTCCCCAAAGCCAGGCGTGTCCACCAAGGTCAGCTTCACTTTGATGCCTCCCTCCTCGATCTCCACGCCCCGGCGCTCGATGGTCAGAGTTTGTGTGGTTCGTGCTGTGGGTGCAGAGAAGTTGGCTGCATAAGCTTTAAAGCGGGACTCGGTTCTAGCTCTGCAGCCGCCCCGCTGTCCCCACCCCCCGACGTGTATTTCAGAGAAGGAAACAGTCTCAGAGAAAACCAGTAGCCATTCAAGTCCCCAGACAGACAGAAAAAGAATGCAGTCTGATGACGCAGGAAGAGGCCAGGGACACATAGAATACCAGGAGAGCAGCAGCGGGTGGGGAAGCCCATAGGGGTGGGGAAAGCAGATCTTACCACTGGCATCGGGCACCTGCCGATCTTCATAGAGGTTGGTGAGGAACAAGCTGTTGATGAGGGTGGATTTCCCGAGGCCTGACTCGCCTATGAACACGACAGACCTTCTAGTCAGATGGGAGGGCGGCCAGGATCTCCGGAGTACATCACTACCCCCGAGTCTCTCTCCAGAACCCACAGACCTGCCACCATGAGGGTGAAGTCAAACCCCTTCTTGACAGACTTGCGGTGCAGCTGGTTGGGGAGGGCAGCAAAACCCACATATTCCTTGTCCTGTGGGGGTAAAGGAAGACGAGATGAGACTCCTGGACATGGCCAGGAGTGCCCCGGTATCACCTGAGCCCCAAAGCTAGGAAGCCTGCTTACTGTGGTTCAGTTTGATTTGGGGATCCTCTCTTATGACTGGGCCCCAGATGTCTAGATTCCTGGACCCAAGAACTCACCATGGCTCTGTTGGTTGTCGCTGCACCTAGTATTGCTCCCCACTTCCTCTGGTGGGGCAGGAAGTTCAACATATCAAACCAGGCTGGGGGTGGGGTGGGGTGGGGGGCAGTGCAGGAAGCTGAGCTGCTGCTCAAAGAGAGGTGAGAAACTCAGGCTGCATTCTCTTTCTTTTCATTCAAAGATTTTGTTTTTAATTATTTGGGGAGTGGAGACCGAGAGCAAGGCATTGAATTCCCAGGCCCCGGCAGGTAGCTGTGAACTGCTGAGGTACAAAATAGAAACTGAATTCAGGTCCTCTGTAAGAGCAGTACACGCTCTCAATGGCTGAGCCACCTCTACAGTCCCAAGCATCTTTTTTCTTATTTCTGTTTAGAAGCCCTTTCATTTTCCACGTCTTTATGCCAAGCCCCAAAGCGGCCCCATCGTCATGGTGAGAGATGGACCGTGAGCAGAAAGAAAGGAAGCAAGATGTTCTCCTTAGCGAGTCTGGTAAGGGATTAACAAGATGATCTGAAAAAAAAAAATCCCAGGGTGGTGCAAACAACAAAAAAGATTAATAGGGTTAGGGGTAGGAGGGGCCAACAGTGTCTCAGGTCAGACAATGGAGTCCTTCTGAGGGGTGGTAGTGCTGGACTGGGCTTGGGTACGGCCAAGCTGAATTCCCACTACACTCCAGTTCCCTAGAGTTGGGATATTTGAGACAGAGTCTTGCCATCTACCCAGGCTGGCCTTGAATTTTCACACCACCCTTGACATCCTAAGTGTTAGGATTACAGGCTGGTGCCACAATTACCTCAATTTCAGTTCTTTTGTTTTCGAGACCGGGTCTCATGTAGACCAGGCTAGCCTCAAACTTACTTTGTAGTAGTCTACGATGACACCCAGCTCTTGAGCCGTCTTGCCTCTGGGTCCCTAATGCTGGGGATTACAGCTGCATAATACCCCACCTGGCATCTTGTCACAACTACCAGAAACTCAGAACTCACGCTGTAGACCAGATTGGACTGAAACTCTCAGAGATCCACCTGCCTCTGCCTCCCGAGTGCTGGGATTAAAGGTGCGCCTGGCATGGGTGACATTTGTATTCAAGCCGCCACGCCAGGCAGGCACCGACTACTGCCCTAAGGACCAGCACTAACATTTTCTTGTTCTGCCAGGTGAGCAGTTGTTCAGTGAAATCTTCCCCAGTTGTTTCTGTTTTAACTACCTAGTACCTTTCTCAGGCCCATGGTGCTCACATTAGCTTATCTGTCTGTGTCTGATGCCCTGGCTGAACTCTGGGGACCAGGACTATGTTTTCCTAATTTCTACATTCTACACACTTCACAACACTTGATTTATCAAGTGCGGGTGCACACACGTGTGTGCATACACACACACACACACACACACACACACACACAAAAGTAAATGGAGAGGTGGCTCAGGGATTGAGAGCACTGACTGGCTGCTCTTTAATAGGACCAGGGTTCAATTCCCAGTACCCACATGGCTCACAACTGTCTGTAACTCCTGTTCGAGAGGATCTGATACCCTCACACAGACATACAGGCAAGCGAAACACCAATGTACATAAAATAAAAATAAATCTTACAAATGAGTAGATGAAGTTAGGCAGAATCAAGGTCAGAAGTCTGTAAACATAAAGAGGCTTGCTTTAGGGTTAGAAAGAGGACCCAGGAAATCTACTACCACAGACTCCCTGTATGGCCTCAGGCAAGTCATTTGACCTCTCTAACTCCAGCTCCTCAGGGTAGAATGAAGTGCACCACGTCAGCACATCAGCAGGACCGCTCTGGGTTTCCCATGACCTGGGCTTTAGATCTGTTCTGAGAACAAACTGCGTAGTTTGAACTGGGTGGCTTTGGGCATGTGAATGAACTCCTCTGGACCCTTCAAACTACACCTCTTAGGGTCTACACGATCTGGACCCTGTTCACTCTCCACTTTAACCCTATTCTAGGGTCTCCCTCTGTAGCCCAAGATGGCCTAGAACCTTCCATCCTCTTGTCTCAACCTCCCCGAGCAGGGACTACACTGTCCACTCTAGCCTGGCTTCTCTCTTTTGACTTTACTTATTCTGTTCCTTTAGCCTCTGCTTTGGACTGAACCTTATTGTGCTCCCCTCCCCCATTTATGCACTGAAGCCCTATGTGACTATATTTGCACATAGAGCCTGGAAGGAGGTAATTAAGTGTGACTTAATCATCCTTAGAAGAGGAAAAAATCCACTCCTCCCGCCTCCTGTACAGAGAAAAGGCACAGTAAGGATACATCAGGAAGGGGCCTCTGCCACCCAAGAAGTGGACCTCACTGTTTTTCATTACATACAGTAGCTGCCCCTTAAGCAACTCCTGTCCTAATCGGAAATAGCAAATCCACAACTACCAGCAGAGGTTCAGCCACACTGGCTGCAGCCAGGCCGGAATTCTGTTCCCTCAGGCACTGGCTCTTTCAGGACCAAAGGAAACATCTAGATCTCTATCCCTATCCTCCTAAGAACTCAGGATTCAATGGTTGAGGTGAAATTCTCTTGCGCAGAGTGGTTAAATAGCAAGTGGCTAACCTTCTCTTCTTGTGAGCATCTCCTGAAAAACAGCTCCCGCTTAAGAACCCTCACTACACCTAGTTCCTCCCTACCACTTTCTGTCAGCTAGTTGCTGTGGTGATGTTTTGTTTGTGCTTTAAATAAAGCTTGCCCGAAGATCAAAGTGCGAAACTAGCACACTAGTTAGCCTTAGCAGTGGTGGCGCAGACCTTTAATCCTAGCACTCGAGAGATGAGTCAGAGGTCAGAGGCTGGCGGATCTCTGTGAGTTCAAGGCTACCCTGGGCTGTGCGAGATTCGGAGTCAGGCGGTGATGGCTCACACCTTTAATCCCAGTACTTGGGAGTCACAAACCTTTAATCCCAGCACTAGGAAGGTGGAAACAGGAAGGGATAGCTGGGCAGAGAGGAGACAGGAGCTTGAGGCATTCATTCTGAGGATTCATTAAGACAGGATCACCCCGTTGGTCTAAGGATTCAGTAGAATATCTGACTTCAGGTTTTTCTTATTAAGACCAATTGGAATTCATGCTACAAGTTGCCTACTCGGCCTCCTGACCCCAGATTAATTTTCTTTAATCAAATAAGTGTAACACATCTTTGCATCATTAAACAAATATTCCACAGCATAAACAAATGTAACACATCCTTTTTTTAAAGATTTATTTATTTGTTATGTATACAGTGTTCTGCCTGCATGTGTGCCTACCCACCAGAAGGGGGCACCAGATCTCATTGTAGATGGTTGTGAGCCCACCCTGTAGCTGCTGAGAATTGAACTCAGGACCTCTGGAAGAAGAGCCAGCAGTCAGTGTTTTTAACCTCTGAGCCATCTCTCCAGCCTATGTAACCCCTCTTGAATTAATATTCCACAACACCTCACCAGACACCGGTATTGGGGAATATTATTGTAAGGTGTGTGACTTTTGTTCATGCTGCATTTAACTCTGTGAAGCTGTGCTACTATGCCTGTCTAAATAAAACACCTGATGGTCTAATAAGAAGATAAACAGCCAATAGCAAGGCAGGAGCAAGGATAGAGAGGGCTGGCAGGCCGAGAGAATAAATAGGAGAACCGAGAACAAGGAGAGGAGGACATCAGGACCAGCTATCCAGCTCCAGAGCAAGCCACAGAGAAAGAAGGAAACAAAGAGCTATAGACATGGAGAAAGACTGTAGTGACGAGCTGTGGGCAGGCCTGCTTTTCATCCTGCCCAGCTCCCGCACGACTAGCTTAGCCCCAGAAATAACAACACATAAGTTGTATTCATTTAAATACTGCCTGGCCCATTATCTCTAGAGAGTTAGTTACTGACTAACTCTCATATCTTGATATTAACCCATTTCTAAAAATCTGTGTAGCACCATGAGGTGGTGGCTTACCGGAAAAGATTCAGCATGTTTGACTTGGTGGCTGGCTCCATGGCATCTGCCTCACAGCCCTCTTCCCAGCATTCTGTTCTGTTTACTCCGCCTACCTAATTTTCTGTCCTATCAAAGGGCCAAGGCAGTCTCTTTATTGACCAATGAAAATAACACAATAGACAGATAACCCTCCTCCATCATTTCCCCTTTTTCTGTTTAAACAAAAAAGAAAGGCTTTCATTTTAACATAGTAAAATTACACATAACAAAACAGTTATCAAGCAAGAATTACAGTCACAATATTTATAACTATATCTTTATCATAATAATGGAAAACTATAACTATGACTATCCATTCTTTAACTCCATCAAAGACTCCAGAAGGATATATTACCTAAGTAAACAAGAAGTAAGCAACTTCCAAAACTCTAGAAATGACAGAGACATCTCGCTGCCTGGACAGTCACCCAAAGTTCCTCTGTATCGTTGGGGCATCCATCTTTGGCCTTCAGGCCCATAATATCCAGAGACATTTCCATGAAGCAGGAAATTTCAAAGGCAGTTTAGTCACTATCTGTTGTGTCCTGCAGAATGTCTCGCAGACTCTTTCATGAATCAAGAACCTCGAAAGATCATCTCACCTTTAGGCAAGTTTAGCAGTCCTCTCTCTGCGGGTTCTCTGTGTCCAGTTTATACAACAGTCCAGGCAAGAGCAGTTTCTTGCCCAAACAGCTAACCAACTCCATAAGGAGCCTCTTCGATGCCCTTCCTCCTCTTGAAGTAGATTGGTGCTGCCAGGAGCAGACGTGTCTCATTGTCATGAAAAGTCCTAAGTTATTAAAACATTAAATGCCATATTCTGTAGTCTTTGAAAAATATGAATGTCTGAAATATATCTATGCACTTCTAGAAAATCAGACTAACATTACTACAAGCTTGACTATTATTGATGATTATCCATTAACAATCTATTTTTTTAAATTATACATTACATTTTTAAAATGAACTACACAATCACAATATATCAATCAAGATCAGAAATATATATACATATAACAAAATTGACCTTAAAATCCATAACAAATAAAATTATTCATATCTATACCATATCCCCCTTTAAATGTAAA